CGCACCAATCGATGCAGCTCGACATTCTCTAAAAAAATATTAGTTATCCCAAAAATTAATCTGTTAAAGATATATATATATATATTATAATTTATTATAATATTAAGTGTGAATTCGAACCTCCCTTCATAGACTACACAGGTATTGCAAATAAAATATTGCATAGAATTCGTATCATCCTTATTTCCTTAGTAACAACCTTGAAATCTCTTAGAAAGTCTCATTTTAGTTGAATATTTTTCAAATACGGACGCTATAGATACTGCAATCTTAAAGATTAACAAAAAATAATATTTAAGCCAGAAACTGCAAGTCTATATGTATTTATTATAAATTCCATCGATACTGGTATAAATTTTAATTACGTTGAAAATAATTACGAAATTTTATTACAGACCAGGGAGTTCAAGTTCTCTATATCGAATCCAGGAATCGTAGATATGATGTTCGCCTGGAAGATAAACATGGACGAACAGTATCCAAGGAGGCACCTAGGAGACGGTTCGAACGTGATTTCCAGACCGAGAACAGCAGAGGAAACCCGCTCCCGGAATTCTAGATCGTCTCGAGGAATCTTTTCTGCAAAAAGGGAACTCAGTCAGAAGGACTTGGAGCAGGATGAATACAGCGCAGGGGACAGCACGAATTTTTTATCACAACAATGCACATCATTCGTTTCTAGTAACTTTATTGGGTGTTTTAGTTTTCATGGCACAACCAGGAAAGGAGTCTACGTGCAAAAAAATAAGACGAGAAAATATAGAATAAAATTTTTTTTCTTCGTCTTCGAAGATTTCTTAATATTTTTTTTTTATAGATATTTTATTATATCACTAATCGTTCATAGCGTCAAATATTCTTATGTTGCTTATGATTTAGTGATTGAAGATCATAATTAGGTTAAATATTTATTTCTAACGAGTGCGAAATATCTTTCGTGAAAAGCTTCTTGCGACATAATATGCAACGCAGAAGTTCATTCGTTAGGTTAGGTTTAGGTTAAATAAATTTGAAATTAGTTAATTAAGTTAATTCTAGACTGAGTAATTGACAGAAAGTTATTCTATGTACGTGCAAAGAAATAAGAAACTTAGAATAAAATTTTTTTCACATGATGCTTCCTTTTCAAGAAAATTCAGTTTGAATATTTCTTAAATGTACTAAACGTCTTAACAAAACGTATTCGAAGTTTGTTTTTTTTTTTTAAATGAAGCCTTCAACGAAAAAGTTTTGTTTATTCATATTTCTAATTTATTTTTGTGTACATGTTTACTCGATTCTTGGACGTATCATGAAAACTAGGACACCCTGTATATTACCTACTGCTCATAAGCATACGGACATTTTGATCGATTTATACTAATGTAATGCAAACTGCACAAATCAACAGGGGGTCAATTAACGACAAGAAACGGAATTTGAATTATTTATTCGTTCAAAATATAGACTTGCAAATTCATATTTTCGTGAAAATGATTAAAACAATAGAACTTATTAAATACTACAACAAATATTGAATTTTTAAAAATATTTAATTATTAAGAATTACAGTCACCATATCTTTTTGCTGCTAAAAGAGCTTCTAAAAATCAGTTTCATTGTGTCATAATATTCTCTTATACACGATCATAAAGAACAGACTCATTCTAAATTTTTTTTATCTCTAAATTTACCAATTCACTTATATTCTGTCTAAAATGAACTGAAAATGATGTCCGAATGCTTTTGAATAGTTTAATAGAACCGATAGATAGTTAATATTCTCAGAGATTCTGTTTGTGGAAAATTTTCAATTTTTAATATTCTAGATAGCGCCGACGTGAAAACAGCTTTAAGCACGAGACCATCGGATCTTTTCAGCAGTACCGCAGGACTGTCGGGAAGGACCACGGATAGCTGGTTGGAAGGGGATGATCCGCCCTTCGTAATTCATCCTGAAACAGGAAAGATACCACCCGGACAATCCATGGAATGTACATTAAAATTTTCACCCAAGGATGTATTTTATTACAAGGCATACCTTACGTGCAAGTATGGATCTAATAGAAGCAATATAAAATACGGATAAAACGCGATGTATTAATATACGCAGCATCTTATAGATAGTAGTTGAAGAGATAGAGATGGCAAAATAACTTGGAAATGCGTAATATGATCTTCTGTGGATTCGGCAAATTTTTAATCTACGATAAACACAATTTTTTTTTTTTTTTGAGAAATTCTTTATTCTGTTATAGAATGGAAATGCTATCAATGAAAATTCTCTTTATTGCGTTCTGCTAATTTAAGAAATGTGTTAATATGTTAGGATAGAAAATCTTGAGCCAAGTCAACCGGCTTTGATGATTCCCATCGTGGCAAGAAGTTTACTGCCTTATTGCCATTTCGACGTGAAGGAGAGCGACTACGTAACTGGCGGGAGACGAGATCCATCACGACCAGGACCCGTAGGATACGAAACAGACGATTCCACTGTATGGCAGAACATCAGGGTAATCGAATTTAAAGTGGTTGGCGTTGGCGGTACTCATATGAAGTAAGTGCAGCACATGTTGCACCGTTCGTAAACGATGTTTTGTCTTAACAAAGTTCGTAATAAATTGCGACAGTTTCATTTGCATTTACCAGAAAATTCCGTACACTATAATACTTGATTTGATAGATCGATTAGAAATATATTTGTCGAATAGACGATATTTCAATTTATTATTGAAAAGAATGATTGAAAAGGAATTCATGAAAAGAAACTTCAAGAATACTGATAATTCTATAAATGTGGATCTAAAGTAATGAAACTAATTGATCATTGAGAAAATACATTGAGTCATATAAAATCTTAATTGAATAAAGTTTCAAAATAAATTAAATGAAGTTTTGAACAAAGTTCTAAAGTGAATTAAATAAAATTTCATCCCAGAAAATGGCATTTTTCATACGCACCAACTTCAATTATTATATTTTATTTGATACGTATATGAATGTTTATTAAATGAATGCTGTTAACTACCATAGTTGTTCATATAACAAATTTCGTATCGGTGTCGAATATTAATTTCGCAGTAAAAGGACCAATTATTATTTGTTAATGCATTTGACAAACTAATTTGATCGTTATGTATTCAATGATTAAATGCATACTCTAATTATTATTTGCAATAAATGTTCAGTTGCATTAAATATTAATGTGTATGTTTAGTTTCTTAAAATATTAAACAACAATTAAATTGTTAATTGTACAGTATGGTCTATTATTTGCTAAACTATTAATGATAGAAAAAAATGTTTGAAATAAACGTTGAATGAAAGGAATACATAGCAGTATTTTTTTAATAAATAATTTTTTTGTAAGTGAACATACGAAGACCAACTTTGATTTTTTAAATAGCATGTCCTATAAAAAAGTATACATCTTGTACTTCTCCTATTTATATTCATATTATCAATTTGAACTTCATTCATAAAGTGTAAAGTATTATACGAAAGACAAGAATAACATTCTTTTTTAAATATTTAACATTTACTGTAAATCGTACAATTTTTAAATGCAGGTATATTTTATATAATACAATTTTAACGCTGTATAAAGTATTATTTAATTTTTTCAGTGTTCAGATTTGTTATATTTGTATATGGGAATATGTACTGCTGTCAATTTAAACAGAACACCCCTTATTAGCTACAGAAAATTTGGAAGTAAATTTGAACGAATAGTGAGAATATAGAAGTGAATACGAATGATTTCAGAAAATTCCACCTAATCAACCCCACCGCGGACGATTACTATTTTTCATGGACGAATCGATCACCTCGCAGAGTAGAGGAGATATCGAAGTTTCATTGTATGGTGACCGAGGGCGTCGCTGAACGTGGAAAACGTACCGACCTGGCTTTCACGTTTTTGGCAGAGGACGTCGGCGTCTTCGAATCCTTCTGGCTCTTCTCCATCGGCAGATACAATCTGGACTGCCTTTTTCTTGTCGTCGGCATCGTAACCGAACCGTCGGTGCACTGCCTCGCCGTTCACATGAAACTCAAGCCAACAATCTTGGGTTAGACCCGAAGCGTTCTTACCGTGAACCAAGCCAACCCCGTGGCTTTCTACCATTTTCTTCTTTTTGTTCTTTCGTTCGGAGAACAGTCGCGTTTTAATCCCCTGTTTCGTTTCTCGCAGTCTCGCCAATCAGACGAATTTTATTCCGTTCTTCAGGATTTAATGTGAGAGATTCGACGAGATTGTTGAACAACGAGGATTTTCATATACCGTTCAACGTGTTGGAGGAGTCTCTCTATTCCGAGGGTAGATTTCAAAAGCTCAGCGTGACTCCGATGAGTGGGACTCTGCTCTCGAAAAGCGAACAACATCTTTGGTACCTTGAAATCTCAATATTTTTCTACCTGTAATATTTATAAATCTTACGAGCGGATTTTTACGCATTTATGAGAAGTTCGAAAGTGCAAGAGTACACAAAAGTGTACGAAATAAACAAGAATATATAAAATATCCAAAGTGGATAAAACAAATTTTTATTCATTTCTTCAGTTATGTTCGTAAAAACACAAAAATGTATAAAAATGTATTATCATAGGGGTCTTGTAAATGTTTGTGGGATTGAAAATCGACATTTGTGAGATTATAAGATTTCAAATGGACTAATCTAACAACGTGGAATAATGACATTCGTTTAACGCTTTAAAAAACTCATTTGATTCTCAATTTTGAAAGACGTTTTCCTGTTTTCTTGCGAACAGAATGATGGAACGAATGTTTTAATTCGTCTACAGGGTCGAGTACCATCCAACCCGGATCGGTGAGTTCCACTTTTCCATTCAGTGCGCTGTGAAACTGATGAAAAGTCCCCTTATCATCTTCGTGACCGCCTTCGTTTATGATATCGTATGCTCGGTTTCCTATTGCAAACCCAACGGCGAAACCATCCGAGCTTGCAAGAGTAAGGAGAATATCATCGACTTGGACAAGGTGAATAGAAAAATTACTTTTTCAAGAATCACTAACAAGAGAAATTCGACTATTGAAAAATTCAAAAAAATTTGGAACCTACAAGTAAATCTTTTCTTACTGAAAAATAATTCTAAAGGTGAAAATATACTCTTTCAAAAAAATCTTAATATTTTATATTATCGCGAAACTATATTTATTTATATTTATATTTATAAACTGGATTTATTACGAATATCAGTGTCTTCAGGATGTGTGAGTCAGGAGTTTTTGGACGAAGCATATTTCTGTTTCTCTTAATATCGATAACGTTTAAGCTGTCATTATGGTTAAGCAATCATTCAATTAAAAAGTTTACACCATCATCTTGTCATCTGATATTTTGTTGTTCAACCATAAGTAGTGCATAATCTTTTCTATTTTATCTAAACCTTTCGCTACGCAAATTAAGAAACGATATGTAACAACTTTATTTCAAGAATTTTCGAATAAAATCAAGACTAATGAAACTAGTATCGTTCGAATAATGGATTGAATAATGTTGAAATTATTTTGATTAAGTACATAATATTGTAAAAAAAA